TGTCAAATTTTATTTCAAAAAAGATTTTTGTAATATGCTTTCTATATCCTTTTAAATTCTGTAAAATCTGTGGTAATGTCTTCTAGATTTTGATACTGTAATTTTAAAAATGTATAACTGATATCATGTCATAGGAAGAAAAGGTCTAAAGAAGTAGGGGAAGTGGGAGGAGTAGGGAAAAGGAAAGAAGGGAAAAGAAAAAATATGAGAAAAGGAAAAAAAGGAAACAAAGTCTTTGCAAATAGGGAAGGGTGGAGCGGGTGATGGGAGGGCAGGGGAAGGGGAAAAAAATAAGAACCAAGATACTCATGTAAAGGTACAAGATCCCTACGATGAATGTAAGTGTATTTTACACCTAAAATATATCAATAAACTTACTGGAAAGAAAAAAAAGAAAAGCAAATAAAGATTAAAAGACAAAAAAGACAGACAAAATCAAGAACATTATTTGTAGAAAAGAAAAAATCTAGCACAGATTTTTATTCTGAAAACAGTGTTTCAAGTTTCCTCAGGGCACAAAGAAAAACCAAAGGAGAAAACCAACCTGCTGTACAAATTCCAAAGGAACCGGTGTGGCTTGGGTAAACGTTTCTAGATGAATGCCATGGACAGGATCTTCTACTACCAAACACCCAATGTCAAACCACCTGGAACAGAATACATGGGCTTCCTATTATTTATGGCTAATAAAAATCACAGTGAAAGGACAAAAAGGAAAAACAAATTTACTCTTCATATAAAACATCAGATTTTAAAAATGAAATTTTCTAATTATTCTGCAAAAAGATAACCACTGAAACGACAGATAAAATTATTCTGTTGACCTAATTTAAAAAGGAGAAAAAGAATGGGAAATAACAAAGACTAGATAGTTTAAAGTTACTGATCACAGAAAGTTTCCTTTCTTGCTAAGATGGGAGAGAATAATGAAAGAAGGGTACACAAATATGCAAGAGAAAGGTTTACATGCATCTGAACATGCAAATAGTTTTCACAAATAACAATAAATGTTACTTGTTAAAATATGGGAAGTTTATGTTACCAATTCTACCACTAGTAAGCAGCCAGCTAGCAGTTACTAGCAAATTTTAAAATAAGCTCATTTAGAGGAAATTATGACAGTCCTCATGAATGATAACCCTTCTAATCACACTTTCTGCATTTTTCACAATGAATCAGACTTTGAGTACATCCACATAAAATCAAGAAAGCTTTCTTCTATTTAAAGATACTAGGAAATTATAAAAAGACATCCTTAAATTTGCTCATGTGAAGACAAGTATAGCAACACAAGAATCTTAGCTACTAAATTAAACCAGCTACTAAACAACCAGCTGCCCTGAAATTATGAATTTAAACAATGAGCTTAAAAAATAAAAAAAAATATGAGCATACGGAACAGTACAATGTTCAATGTCTCTATTTTTAAACATATGTAGATCTAATAAAGTACAACAAAAAAAATGGATTAGGAAACTTATTTGCATATTCAGAGAAACAACCAAGTAAAATATAGAGTAACATAAGCAACTCTGCTGAATATTAAAACAGCAGTTTGAATGTCTGTAGTAGTTATATCCTACAACTTAAGAAAATGACATTTATTTTATTTGGTTATACTAATCAGAGTTTCACATTTGGTTGTATTTCTTAATTAAGAAAATGTATTTGTAGGCCAGGGATTTGGCTCAGTGGTTCCACTGCCTGCTTCGCAAGCACATGGACCTGAGTTCAATCCCCAGTACAAAAAAAAAAAAAAAAAAGGAAAATGTATTTGTGAAATCTCCATAAAGCCAAGCTTAGCTAAATTTTAAATCATTTGTACACAATAATGTCTATCATGGATAACGAATTGACTAAACTATTACACATGCATGTCCTGAAAAGCAGTCACTGAAGGTCTAAGTAGAGTTTATTTCATCATGCTAGGGAGCACACACCCGAGCTCCAAGTGCTTTGTTTTCTAAAACACTACTATGAACATTTCAACTGGGACAGCAGCTTTCCCATTCTCTTCAATTCAGTCAAGGTGAAATTATAACCACTGCCATCCCTACAAACTACTCTTCCATTTCTGACCCTAATACTATTGGCTAAGGAAATTTTTAGTTCTTTTCCCCCTCCTTCATAGACATTTTCCCATCCTACCTCCCGCTGCCACCCTGGGATGAGGAACAGTGGTAATCTAGACTGATCATATTCAGGGACAGCCAATGGGGACTCCATCTCTCTCTCTCTCCATGTGGCTGGTAAAATAAGATGGACTTGAACAAGCCTATGTGAAAATCAATTTCACTTAAAAAGGCCTTAAGAAGAACTATGGCTCTAAGATATTTAGGTTTCACACAGCAGAAAATTACTATACAATAGCATCTGAGGAACTGATACAGGGATGCCAATCTGTATATTTTACCAGAGACAAAGCATTTGCTATCACCAACCAATTCACAAAAGAAAGGACATATTTAACACATTTTAGGGACATTTTAGCACATTTAACAACATAACCAAGATTTAACAGCAACACTAGACAAGTAAATCTCAGAATAAGGGCAGCCCATGCTTATACTGGTGTTTTTCCATATGTGGTACACTTCATGCTAGTTTTTCTCATTTAGAATGAACTGATGAAAAGTTCAACACAGACACCAGTTGAAAGCACTATATCTAAGCTAGCACTGTTCTTTAAGAGCTGAATACATTTGAGCTTTCTTCTTTTAGCTGGTGGGCTCTTCCTGGATAGGTCTTTTACTATCTTTATTTCTAAGCATGCATTTCCTTGACTTTATCTCCTAGAAATTTATTTCTCACAGAAGCAATGCAGAAAGAAGTAGCCACAATAGGAATCTTGTATTTACACTTTTCTCTTCTCTTGTTCCTCCTCTCTCCTCACTCTATACTTTATTGCTATAACCCTTCTATGTTCTCTCTTCCTTAACCCATACTAGTAACTATCAGTGGACTTCCTAGTACTATTGAATATTACTGATCTTCATAATATTCTACTTTTTCTAAAAATGAGTATTTGATGGAAAAAATAACACATCTAGGTGTGATGGAGTAGTTTATGTAGGTCAACACTTCTGGTGCAAAGCTAGATGAGTTATACAGATCATATATTTAGGGCCATTAAAGAGCAAGGACAAAGTGAAGGGAGAAGAAAGCCTTTCAGAGGTAAATTGCCATCTCCTAAGTAACCATAAAATAAGAACCGAGAGAGTATGTAAAGGTGCAAATTTCCAATGATGAATGTCATTATATTGTATACCTAAAATGTACCAAAAAAAAAATCAAGAAAAAAAAACAGTACAAGGTTAATAGAGAAAATTAAATAACAATAATCACTGGATAGTTCTTCAGTGCACAAAGTTCAAACTTCTCAGCCTAGAATACACAGCTCTTCCCAATCTGTCCTCATACCATTCTTGAATTTCTATTCAACAAACTTCTACCCAAGCTAATATAATCACTATCTTAGAATACCTTTTATTACCCTCAATATCCTACCTACTTTTTCCATTAACCCACACTCTAAGTCTTCTTCAAAATTCAATTCATGCCAACCATTCATAAATTTCATGTGACACTACCTCCACATTGAGTAATGTGAAATGTCATATAACATTTTTTGTTAAAAAATTATATAACTTTTTCTACAATTATTTAAAGCTCTTCATATGTACATATATTTTCTGACCCATAATACGCCTTCAGAGTAGAGGACATTTTTTGTATATTATAGTCACACAGTGCTAGGTATATTGTTATTCAACACTGCATAAAAAACAAAGATGAACAAAAAATAACAAAACCACAATACAATTACAAAAGAAGCTATATTTCAACAAAGGGAAAGTATTTTAAGATAAAACAACTCAGCATATCCAAAAAGGTTTTTCCCATTGAAAAAGTCATCTATTAAAAATATAGAGCCCTCTAAATCAGTGCTGAATTATGCTGTCTGGAGAGTTTTCTAAGCTAAATAGTTTTTAAAAGAAGAGTGCTCTGTAGAACCTCAAACCCAGTAACTGTCATCAGGTCTTCTTGCACATATACTCTCCCTTACTCTGAATAAGAGAATTGTGTTTGCTACCTGTGGCCAATTATATATAAACCAATACACCATTACATCATCTTATATTTAGTGCTGTTATATTCCAACACAATCTTAGAAAGCGGACATTACTATCTCCATTTCATAATTAAAAGAAGCAAAGATAGAAGTGTCAGCTAAGCTACACAGGACACAGCTAAAGTGGTAAGAGCTGGATGAGAACATACTTTTCTCTGGATCTAAAATAGGAGACACTTTCTTCTAGGTATTCAGCATGAACTCCCAGGCCCAACTGCATTTTGCTTCTAAGAGAAACACAGTAAGCCTCTTACTTGTCAGGCAGCAACTCTGCAATGAAGTTTTCTACCGACACAGCAGTCTGCTTTTCATGGATTACTCCAGTTCGACGCAAGCTATCTATGCGTTCCTGGGCACCCTAAATGACAACGGTATAGATTGGAAACAATTTTTCTAAAATATTAAATATTTAAAATACTACTTTTTTATTTGATTATACAAGTAATATATACACAATTTATACACACACACAAACACGCTATAAATAGTTAAACAATACAAAACTACATAGAGCAAAAAATGAAAAAGACCAATTACATTCCCAATATTAAGTTTGGAGTACATCTTCTAGATTGTTCCCATATACATTACCATGTTGGTTGCAATTCTTAAATGGGTCATTCTTAAATTATATTTTCTAACTGATTATTAATATAAGAAAACTATATTTTTTAATGTTGATCTGTCAAGGCGCCATCTTAGTGGATAAAAATCTAGAGTATTTTTACTTGAGTCTCTCTTTACTTTTTAGGTAGGTAATCACATTAATAGTGAATATGGGGCTGGGGATTTAGCTCAGTGGTTCCACTGCCTGCCTCAAAAGCAGAAGGACCCGAGTTCGATCCCTGGTACCAAAAAAAAGTGAATATGTTTCTCTTTTTTCTAATTCCCTTTAATTTGGTGCACTATACATCAAAATGACTAGTTATTTAAAATAAAAATTGTAATTACACATATTATACTAAAGCTTATCAATAATTACCATTAATAAAGCAAAATCAAGGGGTTGAGAACACAATATAGATAATTCAAAATCATGAAATATATAGCACAAAAGAAAACTATAAGTTGGATTAGTGATAAGGTTGCTATTTATTACTTTATCTGAATCATTTCATCAACAGTGATCATCAATGATGTAATGAAAATGTTCAAATGGCAAATACATTCAAAATCATTTTTGAACAAAACTAGCCATGAATGATATACCCACATATTTTTAAAGGCAGAAGAGGTACACAGAGGAAATAAGATCAAATGTTCAATTTTTATTCAAATAAAAATAAAGCTCAGTTACTTCAGAGAAAAATGAATTTTTTTCAGAGATGAAATAAAGGAAAAAGCGAGAACTGTATGAGAACAGGTATAATCTAAACATCATCTCTAAAGATACAAAATGCAGTAACTTAAAATATAACAAAAGTTAGACTGTTTTACTCACTCTTATCTCTAGTGTCTAGCACAGTGCCTAACCTAATAGGTGCTCAACAAGAACTCAAGACTACATGAAAAACTGAAGAAGGGGAAAAATAAAGGCTTCCCAAAGTCTTTATGGCCAATGTCAAGAATATAATGTGAAAATGACATCAAGCATGGTAACACTCAAACAATGAGGCAGCTGCTGATTTTGAAAGAAATGTAACAGATAAGATGAATGTCATTCTTTATAGTGCATATTGTTAGTTTGCTAAGTGACTCCTCCCAAGGAGAAGTTATGGTTACATTTTTATTAAAAAGAAGATTAAGTAAATGTTAATTTAGCAAAAACTATTAGGGGACTAATGGGATGTTTAGATTCATCCCCAACACTTTGAAGGGGATATCTATAGCAAAAAATCCCTAGATTTTATACTTCCAGAGAATAGACTAAATTTGTTCATTTTTTTTATAAGCTACCAGACAGGACTTTAGTGGATCAAGAATTAGGGAGAGTAAAAGACCACTTTGAAATAATCTCAGATTAGGGCCAGGGATTTAGCTCAGTGGTTCCACCTTGCCTCGCAAGTGCAAGGACTCGAGTTTGATCCCCGGTACCAAAAAAAAAAAAATCATCTCGGACTGAACTACAAGACAGAAGGGCCTTAGAATTTACATTAAATTCTAAGTTCAACTTGGTTGAAATGAATAATTAAAATTTTACACATCTTCAGAAATGTTTGTAGATCTTAATCCCTATCTTGTTGAATATAAACTGTGAAAGAATGGTCATAACTATGCTTGGTTTTTTAATAAAATTAATGCTTGACATAGAAGTTTCAGAAACTTCTTAAACTTTAATTTTGGCTAAAATAATTTCACATGTTGAAAGGACAACTTTAGTTCAGAAAATCCACTTTCTTCAAATAAAATCTGAACAAAAAATGGGTTAGTTTTTTTTATATTTTAAGATTCTACATTATTTTTCTTCTCATTAGCTGCTTTTACTGTTCTGGAAAAAAAATCTTGACAAATTTATAATTTTAGTTTTATGGTAAAGGCCAGAAAAAGAATGATAAACCTCCATGTCATATTTATATAATGCTTCCCAATGTAAACAAAGCTCTTGCTTTAATCTCTAAATTTCAAAAAATGCAGCTACCATTATTTTTCTGTCCAAAAGCCTATTTGTATTTTAGGATTTTCTCCAGATTACCCCCTACAAGTAAATCTGAAAAAGTCTACCTTCCCAGATTCATAAACCCTTTCCACTTTACGAAAGCATTCTTGAAATCTTGAAGGTACAACCTCAAGCTACATATGTGACCTGTTCTAGTCTTTCAAATAAAAATCACCCACATAAATGTTTATGATTTACCTCATATATAACTGATTAGATGTACAATTATCGCATCACATATTTACCTATTTGTCATCCTTTTTTCATTTCTAGACGAGACTACATTTAAACCCTATGGCCATCAGTTAGCTTTGCTATATTTTATAAAGATCAAACCCTTCTATCCCAGAAAGCCTTATTAGAAATATAAACTGGTAATCAAATTCAAGGGAAACCCACCAGAAAATAGAAACATTTCAAAGTGTGTTCTCAGTACCAGTGGTCTATGGATATACCATTATGAAAAGTACAAAGCCAGGATATAGATAATTCGATTCGTATGTTATTCACTACATTTAGATATAGTCTAACTTCTACCCGACAGCCCCAAATTCATAAAGTGCTTTTAGGGTGTGTGGGGACAGGAAAAGCTCCATATTCTCTTTTTTAAAAAAGTGCTACATATAAATGAAAAAGCACCTCAAATACAGGCAGCATTGTCTTCTGGTAAAATTAAAAATAATATAGCACCAGTGTGGGGTAACTGTAAGCAATGGTTAGTTACTACTTATAAACAATACACCAGACTTTTGCCCAGCAAAATATGCTACACCAATTACCTCATTTAATACTTTACATGTATTACATGAGTGAACAAAGTCTCTAAAGTACCTGGCTCATAGGATGCTCTCAATAAATGTATTTAAATGCTTTTATATATAATACAAGAATGTCAAAAACCAAAATGCACTTTTCCTTAAATGTAAATACAGGTGATTCACATTATTTGTGGATTCTGTGTTGGTAAATCTGACTAATCATCAAAATTCATGTGTAACATACACAGAACTGTAAGAAATTTGAGTTGCCGGCTATGCACATTTTCAGCTAGGTCAAAGGATATTGTATTCTTGTTTCATGTTGCATACTATTAACAAGTGTCTTTTTTTTCCTATCTAGTGCCACTTTTTTTTCACTTTTGTGCCTGTTGATTTTAGTGTTCCAAATGCCCCCCAAGGATAGTGGTAAGTGCTGTCTAGTGTTCCTTAGCACAGGAGGTATGACGTGTCCTAAGTATAAAACAAGCGTGTGTTCAATAAGCACCATTCAAGCATGAGTTACAGTGCTGTTGGCTGACAGTTCAATATAATCAATCAAAAATAAACATACATATATTTAAAGATGTATTTATATAGAAACAGATACAGAACAGTTATATATGACAGATTGTCAAAAATGCTATGACCAAAAGCCCACAGGGACCTAATCCTGTATTTCCCTCAATGGGCAGTGGTTCAGGATTCACTAATTCAGTGTCTGCAGTAACCCTGAAGAACAGAACCACAGCCAAAACCTAGAACTGTGTGTGTTATGCAAATAAGATTTCTTGATGGATTAGATTATGATGAATTGTGAATAATGACAGAAGTTCAGGATGACTCCAAGGTTTCTCACCTGAGAAAGTGGAAGGTTAGAAATGTCATCAATTGAGATGCAGAGGGCTAGGTAAGTCTAGGGGAAAGAAAAATTAAGTTCCAGACATATTAAATTTGAGATATTAAAGTAAAGTTGTCAAAAGGCAACTTTTATATAAATCAAAAGTTTACAAGAGAGGTCTTAGTGAAGATATAAGCTTGGAATGGTCCACACAAAGATGGTGTTTAAAGACAGGGGGCAAATGGAGAAGGGACCAGGAGGAGGCTGGGGAGAAGAAAGCAGCACAAGAAAAGCAGAAGCAGCAAACAGTGAAGTTTAAAAACAAACAAACAAACAAAACAAACAAAAACAACAACAACAAACCCCACAGACCCAAGTGTGTCTCCAGAGAGTCAAGTGAAAAACATCAGAGTGGTTAACCATCTTGAAACCTACTGATAAACTCAAAATAGATGGGAGCGCCCTGGTGACAGTGAGCAACTCTCAATGGAATACTGGGGGCAAAAGCCTGATTGGAGCAGAGATAAAAGAATGTGAAAAAAGAACTGAAGAAAAGCACTGGTGACTCCTGGAGGACTTATGGTGCAAAAGGAAGCAACCTAACGTAGTAGGTACAGGGGAAATGAGGTCAAAGAATTTGTTGAGGGTTTTTTTGGCATCTTTTTTTTTTTCCAAGGAAGGAGAGATTTTTGTATGCCAATGGCTGTTCACTTTGTTCATGCATGATTATATGTATGCTGGTAACACTACAATAGCAAAAATTTAACAATGCATAAGAGGGAAGAATTCCCAGAACTTAAACATTTTCCATATTATTAACAAAAATAATTAAAAACCTTTGGGAATCAAAGGATACTGTAATTTCAGTAATTGATGTAAATGTTAATACTGGGTTAAATCCTAAGTACTGGGTTAAGACTAACAATTCTTTGAGCTCTGTTATAGCTTGTCTATAGATGGCCCCCTCTCCCCTGCCAAAGCCTCAGGAAGTCACGGGGGGCTTTTCAGAGGTGGCTGGATCTAGGGTGTGTGATGCCGGGATCAAGGGTGTGTGACTAGTAAATCAGTCCACTAATTGGTTTAGCATAGTTCTGGCTAGGATTAAGGGTGTGAGTGCTACTGCTACCCTAGGGTGAGTAGCCTGCATAAAGTATAAGGGGCAGAAAGAGGACTAATGTGCTCTCACCTGCCTGCTTGCCATGGATTATTTCTCCTCTGTGATCCCCCTCTGCCATGCCACCCTGCCTTGGAGCCAGCCGTCTATGGACTGAAACCTCTACCAATTGTGAGCTAAATAAAACTTTCCTCCTTTAACTTTGGGTGTCGGGTATTTTATTTCAGCAACAAGAAAAGTAACGAAGACATGCTCTCTGAGTTTATTTCCTCTCCTCCCCCAACAATCAAAACCTATCTTAGATTTCTTTAAAACTCTGTAATACATTCCTAATACTAAAGAGTTATCTAACTAAACACAGCTGTTCATTATTTCAGTAAACACATTAGTTCCATATAGACCACAGAATCATTATTACATTTACCAAAAAATTAACTGTCAGATTCCATATCCTTAAAAGGTGGTCTACTTTATTTCAGTACTGGGGATTGAACCCAGAGCCTTATACATGCTTGCCAAGCGCTCTACACTAAGTTATACTGTTGGCCCTTTATTTAAAATTTTTTATTTTGAGACAAATTCTTGTTAAACTGCTCAGGCTGGCTTCAAATTTGGGCTTCTCCTTTCTTAGGCTCCCCAGTAACAGGGATTACAGGTATATGCCACCATGCCCAGCTATCACTCACTTTCAATCCTGCCGCATAGCCCACGGGTTGTGGCGCAATATTGGACTGTCCAGCTTCCCCTACAACCACAGCCAGGCCAAAGACCTCCTGAAAGGCATCTCGGACAGCAGCCACTTTTACTTCTTTATTTGAGGTCACTACAATATCCAGTTCACCTCCAGATTCTACAAAGAGCAAAAGAAAATTTTAATTCCAAATTAAAATAATGAAATTTTCATAATTACTACCATACTATGTGGCAACATTTTATTTACAAGATTATTAACCTCATAAAATGATGCAAAATAGAAATCATTACTTTTTGAAACAGTTGAAGAAACTAAAGGTGACAAGTCTTGGCCAAGTAATATAGGTGTTTAGTACTATTGTCTGGACTCAAGTCTATCTCTGTGGACTCTGAAATCTTCTTTTTACCACACTGTTTGAATTTCTCACACTGTAATCTAAAAGTATCTTATGTTCTTGGGCCCAAATAACCAACTCTTCCTGAAGTTCAAGACTGGAAATTTAATGCAGTATTTGAAAGCCAAAGACAGCACAGGCCTTCTAATGATTCTGCATGTCCCACCTACCATAATGAGGGCACATCTTTTCTACCACTCTATGAAATGTTCTGGAATGTATTAGTAACTGCCTAAAAATGGGGCTCTGTGGTTAAATAGCTGTGGGAGATACTACATACCACATTTGCTTCTAGGAAATTTACAATGCACATTATCATATCTAAGCTTCTGAGAAATCCAACAATTAAAAATCCTGAGTTCAACCCACTTATATTCATACTTATTCTGTTCACTGGATACTTTCTTAGCATCTAATGATGGCTCCTAATAGTGTTCCATACACATCAATTTGGAAAATGATATACCAGACATGAGAAGAGTTTATTTGCCTGGAGAATTTATACTACTCCATTAATTTAGCCAAGTCTCATTTTCTAATTAAACTTTGGGTGAACACATTCATTACATTTTTAAGGTTGCAAATAAAAAGTTTCTCGCTGTTGATCAATATACATCTTCATTATACAGTAACTTCCAGGTTCCAGGCCATCACTTATGGAGCAACCATAGAAATTAAACAACTGGCTTGTTTAGTTTACACTTTTGTGTAAATTTAAATTTAAGTTACACTTTTGGGATACTCTACAGAAAATGAAGACTCTTACTGGTGACAAATAAATTTTCAAAAGTTACATACCAAAGACTAGCATGTTCTATACTCCAGTTGGTTTTTTTTTTTTTTTTTTTTGGTACCAGGGATTGAACTCAGGTCCTGGCGCTTGGGCAGCAGGCGGCGAAACCACTGAGCTAAATCCCCAGCCCCTGCATGTTCTATACTTTTATCTAGAAAATAGTTTAAATGTGGAGGCCACTAATCTTACTGTATGTGCTCATTATTTTTAAAAAACCATATACCACAAAGATATTTATTTGTAAATTATACAAGTACTACTGTCCTAATACAAATATTTAAGCATATCTGAAAATGGAAATAACATAAAACTTTGAAATTCAAAAAGATTGAGCATATCATATTATTAAGTTCAAAAATTTTTAAATTTTCAATTATTTTAAAAATGTGCACTATTATTTCTAAATAGAATAATTTCACCAAATATATGCCATTGTTTTTTAAAAATCTTAACGTACTATCTGTGATAGTTTGAGTTATCTCTTACCAAAGTGCTTAAGACCAGAAATGTTTTGGATTTTAATATTTTTTAAATTCTGGAATATTTGTCTGTATGCAGTGAGTTATCCTGAGGATGAGACCCAAATCTAAACATGAAATTCACTTCTGTTTCATATACATCTTATACACATAACCTAAGGGTAATGTTACACAATATTTTTACAGCATCTGCATTTTGACTACGAACTGTCTCATGGGCAGGTATGGAATTTTCAAACACAAGTGGAATTGTGTCAGTGTTCAAAAAGTTTCAGATTTTGGAGCATTTTGAATTTCACATCTTAGGATTATTGATGCTCAACTTGTACAGTAAATTCAAAGGCCTGCTTCTAAGCACATATTCTGATAGTTGGCATTAATGACTATCACTGTTAACAGAGATTTCTCATGAAAGCTATTTGTAATATAAAACATTTTGCCCCAGGAACAAGGCTGTTGCCCAGCTAAATATCTTGTGGAAGAGTTGAAGTTATTTTATTTTTATTTTATCATGGATCCTTTTCCTGATTAATGTAATATTCCACAGATCACATCTTTACTGGGAATTTCAGAACTTACTAGTACAACCAATAAGTCACAAAGGAAAGAAGAGGAAACATACTCTTTTTTCACTTTTTCCTCCATATGAAATATAGTTCTAGCTAAGTGTTATTCCATTATGTTGCAGCCAAAGGCTTTTCACTTTGTGATGAGTGACATGCTTTTAATAAGGAAGGAAAAAGAATTACAAGAATGCAGAAAAATTCATTTGAAATGAAGTTAAAATCCATTTCTCATAGTTCTTGTGATTCCTTAATATATAAGAAATAATTGGATCAAGTGATTTGTGGAATATTTATGTAAAAATGCTGAAAGATTTACTGAGCTTTGTTATATCAGAATAGTATTACTTGTGTTGCTGGTAAAGCATCAGCTTTTACGGTTTCATTACATTTTATTTTTGGTACCAGGAATCAAACTCGGGACCTTGAGCTTGCGAGGCAGGCGGCAGCACCACTGAGCTAAATCCCTAGCCCATTTCATTACTTTTTTAAAGATAAGTGATTAACATATTTCATTTCCGTACTCCCTCCCTTGGTTTTATGCCTTATTCTTGATGATGTGGAGACTACTGGCTTCAGAAACTGTCTTCAGTTCCAGGCCTGGCTTTATCATTTGCTAGCTTTGCTACCTTGGGAAAGCCACTGAGCTCATCTCTCTGTAGGAAAAAACCCATACTTCACAGGACTTGGTGTAAGGACTAACTACTTGCTTTTATAGCCTAAACATAGTATACTTGTTAAAACAACAAAAACTCCAAAAAGGTTAATTCCTTCCCTTACTTCATTTAAAGTATGCACAAATGAAGAAAATATATATTGTGCATTTGGTCAGACTGGATTATGATTACATGAAATCATATATATTACAAAGTTCAATTTCTGGATCCCTTGGAGAGGTACAAACACAAGGAACAATTTAGCTGATTTAATTTTTGATTCAAGTTTCTACTTCAAGGGCAGCTAACTAATTGAATGTAAAAAAAATTAAACATTGGCTCAATCTAGCTCCATTTAAGCTGTGTGACCCAGGTTGCTGATTTACATCTCTCTGAACCAAGTTCTTTTTCCAAAACTTGAAAAAAGTACCTATCTTGCAGAGCTTTTGTGAATTAGTGCCTGGCACAACAAGCATTCAATAAATGGGACTTAATCATGCTTGTTCTAATCCAAAACTATGAACATCAAGGCCAGTCAAAGCTACTGGCCTTTTACTGTCACTAAAAATTTCTGTTCAAGCACCTACTGTATAGGTTTGGCTTACAAATGATCTTCAGCAGGAATACTGTTATGTGGCCACTAACTCTGATAAGCCACAGTATTTTTCCACATATTAGATATATACATAAAAATTAAATAGGACACCATCTATAGGGCCAACTGTCTGGAGGATTCTTGATGACAGGGGCTCAGAGGCAGTTAAAGTAGTTTTCCCAACAAAACTAATAATCAATATTATGAATTATTATGATAACTAAATTACCTTCTTTTAAAAATCATTCCTGAGTTAAACATAAGGACATTTAATTAAAACTAAGTATGACCAAAGCATCATTTTAAACAACAACAATGAATAAAATAAAGTTAATATAAAGCAGCACTAACACATATTTACAATTAAAATTAGCTGGGGATTTAGCTCAGTGGTTTTGTCACCTGCTACGCAAGCACAAGGACCCGAGTTCGATCCTCAGTACCAAAAAAAAAAAAAAATCGGTAATGATATTAATAGTTGATATTATTATCCCTACAAAATTGACTTAGAGGAGTTTCCAAAACTTATTTAATGATAACTAAGAAAAAGATGAATTAATAATGCTGAAAAGTAAGACTTACTGCAAAAAGATAAGAGGAATTTCTACTGATAACATGACCAATGGAAATCAACTGAGAATTATGATTTAGTGGCTTGATACTGATGCATATTTTAAAAACATATGGCAGGTACAGTTCTAACATATGTACATACTGATATAAGGAGCCATGCCAGGGTCCAGTGTTGTAATCATGCTTTCTACTGAATGTTTTGTCTTATCAAGCACAGATTTCACCATAGGATTTCCAGCCACACCCTGCAAAAAACAAGTTAATATATTGTATAAATCAGCAAAGAACACTGTGGTCTTTATGATTATGAAAGAAACAGTTTCTTTCTTTTATTTATTTTTTAAGTTTCTAATGTACCCCAGACCAGTAAAGATAAAACCAAAGTAAAGTCAGGGCAATGTTAAATTGCTCTTTGTTTTCTACATTTCTCAATTTCTCTTCCTATCCCTTCACTGACCCACTGCAATGTACAGGCCAGCAGATGGTAAACTATCTGCAGACCACACTTTATGATATTTTGTAGATACATGTATGCTTATGTTTACTTCATTTATAAATATATTTACATATTTAATTTTTATCTAAAAGATTACCTTTCAGGGTCTCAAAGACTAGAATCAGATGTTTAAGTCCAAGTTTTAGTAAAAAACTTCTCATCTTTACTCCCCTGAACTGTTCCTACTACCTTAACAGAACACTGTACTATGTTCTCCCATAGTTTTTCTTCCTACTTCTTATTTTTTCATTTTGTTTATTTCCAAACTCCCAAACTCTCACTTATTAGCCAGACCTCTTTCTCCAAATCCTTAAACCCACAAAATTGGAGAGAGGAACTGTGTCTGAGTCTCTCTTGCACTGAGAGAAGTGGCTCCTGACCCCATATCTGATGACAGTCAGATTCCCCTTTCAACCTATCAGTAAACCAAGGCAATTCAGTACGAGATAATGAGTTCCTAAGACTACTGACCAACTCTATGCTAAAACTCAGAAGTTAATACTATTACTAGACCTGGAGAGCTAACTGGGCATCAGAACCAATAAGGTGACACACAGACACCTGCTCATAACAAGTGAAAAAAAAAAGAGCTGTAGTCATTATACAAAGAAAACTTTTAAAAGTACAGAGAGACATAAAACTGCAAGCTTAGAAAAATGTCACATTCCTGAAACATGAAGCTCAAATAATATAAATCAGTTAACCATTTAACAATTTGAAAATACGTTTAATGTATATCCAATGAAATTGCAAACAATCTCTCAGCAGAATATAGGAAGGATTTTGGCAAAATGATTCCAAAATTCACTGAGAAATGTGGGAAAAGACCAACAAAGATGTTGAAGAGAAATCAGAAGTTTATACAACTAAATACTGACACATTTTTACAAACACAGAATTGTAGCTTACTTGTCACTGACACTACCCAGGCACACCTCGGCACAAGGCAGACTTTCAATACGGAGTATAATAAAGGAGCCAGGATTACATAAAACAGTGTGCTACTACTGCACAGAGGCAGAGAACAGAGGGACAGAGTACAAAGCCCAGGAACTACTGTCAACATATAATTTAGTAACTAAGATAAAGGTGACATAGCAAATTACTGGGATTAGAACACCGAAACAACGTCTACAGCCACACCACCCTGAACGTGCCCGATCTCGTCAGAACACTGAAACAGTCCATTACGGAGTTGGAAAATAAGTTTGATTTCTACCTTACACAATGCAGTGAAGAATATCAGCTATATTAAACTGTTAAGTATAAAAAATGAAATAATAGAATTAGAAGATATCAAGGAGAAATATCTATCATATACTGTTAGTAGGAAAAGGTCTTTTCTAGCATAAAAACAAAGAAATTGAAAAGAGAAAATTTAAGAAGTGTTTTGTTAAAAAAGCACAGTAAATAAAATAAAAATGCAAAAAACCAACATATAATAACATACAGCAAAATATTCTTATATTAAGAACTCTTAAAAATTCCTTAAGAAAATCATCCCAATTTTAAACTAAAGAACATAAACAAAAAATAAAAAAATAAAAAAATAAAAAAAAAGAACATAAAGAATTCACAGAAAAAATATACAAATGGCTAAAAATCTCATGAAGAGTTTAAATTCAGTGCAAAGAAATGTAAATTGAGGTTCTATAATTGCCCATCACACAATATTGTATTTCAAATTAATAGCAAGAATTAATTCTGATGCACTAGAGATACCTATAAAGATTTATATACAAGAGTACCCCTCATAGTTTTATTAATAAGAATTACCATTGGAACAAATCATTATGCAATCTGGTCACTATAGTTAGTAACAATATATTGTAGTCTTGAAAGTTGCTGAGAATAGATTTCAAGTCTTTCACCCCCCAAAACAATGAGGTAATACATGTTAATTAGCTCAATTTAGCCATCCCACATTTCTACACCTTTTAAAACATCATACTGCACATGATAAATCCATACAATGTTTACTTCTCAATTAAAATAAATTTTAAAATTCACAATTAGAAAATGCCAATAGTGGATTAGTAAAATAAAACAAGGAAAATAAATGCAGTATCATGTATGGCAAAGTAGCCATAAAAAAAATATACTTCTTGTCAGGTGTGGAGGCACACATCTGCAATACCAGCACTCTGCGAGGCTGAGGCAGGAAGGAGGAATGCAAGTTCAAGCCACCCTGGGAAATTTAGCAACTCAGACTCTTTCTCAAAATAAAAATTAAAAAAGAGTTTGGGGTGAGTCCTATATTCAACCCTCAGTACTGAAAATAAAAATGCATTCCTAAATATATGTCCAGGAAGATGTTTATATCTGCAAGGTAAAGACCAACAAAAGACACAAAAAAATGCCCCCATGTCATTGTTCCAATTTATTTTTATTAAGAGAATAGGTACAGGGGCCGGGGATTTAGCTCAGTGGTTTCGCAGCCTGCTGTGTAAGCGCAAGGACCCGAGTTCGATCCCTGGTACCAAAAATAAGAGAATAGGTACAGCTACACAGGTACAGACAAACAATGGGAGCAATAAAAGTAAACTAACAGAATTTTTATTCTTTCGTTATGTCATTTTCTATTTTCAAAAATGTTTTTTGATGAATATCTATTATTTCGTAATAAAAAGAAAACAATTTAAAAACTAAATATTCTATACCTTACCTTAATAAAACCCCATATTCCACCAGCAGATGCTTCATCGTGAACTCTACTGATCCTAGGGTCCTCCTGCTCCTCTGGGAAAGTAATGGCCGATGTGGTGCCAGTGCCCGGTGCCACAGATGTCAGGCTGGCTTGCTGAGTAAGGGGAGTTGGCAAAACACCTAGCAATGACCAAAGAGTGTAACTTATTCCATAAGCTTTTTACATAAAAAGATATAGGATATGAGCAGCATAAAACTTTAACAATGTAACTACACATACTCAAGTATTTAAAAACTGAGTTAGAAACTCAAAATCACCCAAACCTTTTATAAACCAAATTAAACAGAATTCCAAAAAATTTCTTTCTCTTGACACAGAATTGCACCAACTGTCATGACAAAAGATACATATACATATATGTATATATGTAACTAGAGAAAAGTTCTCATGTTGTCCTATCTAGCAGTTGAAAGCAAACAGCTATAGTTAATCCAAAAAATAAATGGGCACCTAAGGCTGTCATAAAAAGGAACATGACAATCACTATGTATACTGCATACATTTCATTTTAACTTGGAAAGAATATTCACAGAAATGAACTAGTTTCACCAACTTCTGGCACAAATGAGCTTTTATCTGGTTTTGAATTTTTACCTGACTGAACAAAAAACTATTCCCTGGACCAGTCAGTCAGTCCTGATAATTTTTAAAGAGCTTTTAACTCTCAAACTTCACTCTGACGTTTCTCTGTAAATGCACAAAATTTTGGACAAAATTTGGATAAAATTTTGGAATTCTTTCTGACATTTCATATATTAATAATCAAGTTGTTTTTGTTTTCAGTGCTAGGGACTGACCCTGGACTTCCTGCATGCTAGACAAGCAATACTCCCTGCATCATATACAAAGTTACAACAACGTTTTGTTTGTTTGTTTGTTTGCTATACTGTGGATTAACCCAGGATTTTGGCACTGAGCTACATCCTCTGCCCTTTTTATTTAGAGTTTATTAAGACAAGTTCTCAAGTTACCCAGGCTGGGTTCAACTTGTGATCCTCCTGCCTCAGCTTCCCAGAGTGCTGGAATTACAGGCATGCAACACAACATCTGGATTATTTTTTATAATTTAAATGAGAAAAACATGAGAAGAGGAAACTATACTCAATAGAAACAAAAACTTGTCCACACAGAAACCTGTACATAATAGTTCACAGCAGCATTATCCAAATGGCCAAAAAGTAGAAATATAATTATCACCTGAACTGAATTTTAAAAAGGGGGTATTTTCTCATAATGGAGTATTATTCAGTCATGAAATGAAGTACAAACTCAAGCTACAACATAGATAAACTCTGAAAATGTCTGAAGTGAAATGAATGACCACCACAAAAGATCACATGGCATGACTCCACTTATATGAAATGCCCAGGATAAGCAGATCCATAGACGAATCCATAGATTAGTGGTTGCCTAGAACTGTGAGGACTGCAGAATATAGGGGTGAAATAGGCACAGGGTTTCTTTTCAAGGTAATGAAAAGATATAAAATTGATTGTAGCAATGGCTACACAACTCTATATACGAAAACCACTGAACTGTGCACTGTGAATTATATTCAATAAAGCTATAAATAAACTAAAACAACATTTAATCTAGCCATATATTTCAAAGCATCACTAAAAGAGAATTACCTGTCACTGGAGGTGCAGAAAATGACAGCATCAGTGGCGTCTGGGGTGCTCTTCCTGCATGTCCTCGTGTAATGTCATAGGATGTCCCAACAGAGAAGCCTGATATAGGAGGACCGGGAGGAGGTGCAGACAAAAGAGCACTTGGGGCAGAGGGTGCAGGCGGGAAGTGGGATGAAGGCGGGTCACTGAAGGTCGCAACAGTTGTTGAAGGAAGTGGAGGAGCTGCAGAAGCACAAAGTGGTGGGACAGGAGGAGTCGCTGAGAGAGGCACAAAAGGCAGCGGTGCTGATGGCTGCACAGGAGGATGGGAAGGCTGAGGAGTAGAATACACATGTGGTGGCAAGGGCTCCACAGTGGACACATTTGGAGAAGAGAAAGAACTGGCTGTACCTAGAAAATGTGGAGATGATAAAGAGACTAAATTGAAAATTTATGTATATATGTAACTAGAGAAATTTTCATATTGTTTTCAAATTCACATTATTCTCTAATACAAAGATTTTTAATTTAATACATCATTTCCCAAGAATGATTTCTAAATATATAATTTAAAATATACAACAAATATGATTGAATGCAAAAAATTTTCAACTCCCAGAAGTAAAAGCAGCAGCAGTATGTTATTAAATTATGGCACTGTTCAACAGTAGATCTTTTTTTGTTGTTGTTCATTTGTTTGAGTGTGTTTTTAATAAAATAAAGCCATTTTGCAGGTTCAAAAGGATTAATCATGACACAGTTATAAAATATCAAAGATAACATACACTTTTAAGAATAATTTGTCATTGATTTAAAGTCAATATGAATAGAAAGAACAAAAATCTACCTAAAGCAAAACAATGATATTTTCTTACTTTTAATAAATGAGACTATTTCTTTGTATTCTTTAAATAAAATGTCTATTTTCCTTTACCTGGACAAAGATTAAAGAAGTTTTACTATATGCATCCTGCTTTTAATTGACAGAAAAGGTAACAGTATCTTCATTAGTCTTGATGAATAACAGTAGATGTTGGGACAACCACCAGTACCTGGGGTTGAAGCCATGGCAGTGGGGGCCATTCCTGTGGGATTCAGAGGAGGAGTCCCAGGGGGTGTGGTCTCTATTCCACTCTCTTCCATCATTTTTCTTCAGTTATGGGATACTGTGAAAACATAAAAATGTAGTAAGTTTTACATAGTAATCAAAATTGCATTTTTAAAGCATACATAATTAAGAAAAAATTAAGAGTAATCATCAAGAGACAGATACCTGCCTTTGCTATTTTGAATGCAACTTATTTCCAAATGAAGGGCTTATCAAAATTCTTAAAACAGTTTATGAGGATATGTAATATGCAAACAATATGCCATTTTCATATATACTCTTTACTTTAGGAAATAATTTTATTTGACTGTATTTAATACTCCAACATATTTCAATTGCCAGTAAACTGCCAATTTGATTTCTGTCACATGAATTTCAGTCATGATCATGTTTAAAATGAAAATAAAACATTAAATGTAGTTTTGAAACCCTCTTCCTTCATAAAATATTCTACGTGAGCTACTCCTATTAACAGAAAAATTTTGAATGTGTTTGACTTGATAAATGCATTAACCTGTTCCCTCATAGAGCATTCTGTGTGGGCTACACTTATTAACATTTTTTAAAAAGTCAAAATGAGCAAAACTTGATAAATGCATTAATTTCAAGTCTCTCTAGTTCATTTTTTTTTTTTTTTGGTACCGGGGATTGAACTCTGGTCCTTGTGCTTGTGAGGCAAGTGGCAGAACCACTGAGCTAAATCCCCGGCCCTAGTTCACATTTTAAAGTACACTTGGTAACAGATAAATTATACACCTCGGGTTCTAAAAAAGTGCATACACATGTGTGTCTGTCCACACACATACACAAGCATACTACTAGACAGGAAGGTCCTGATAGGTAATAATGGGTTACAAAACATAAGAAACTCCCTTAAATATTATAAATCAGTTTGTCTCAAGTAAAAAGCTCTAAATGTGCCAAATTTGTTTTTGATATTTGTACTCATTTAACAAATACTCAGAGAGGGTCCACTGTTCACCAGCCATCATCTACCCTGCTGTCTCTAGAAACACAACAGCAAGCAAAACAAACAACAGACTTATAGTCCAGTACAATCAAGTAACACCAATAGAAAACGATACCAACACAATACCAATAGACAGCTGTAGTCTGAATTGGGTGCACTGAGTAAGAGCACAGTTTGACTGGAACATGAGTCTTACTGAGAGGTCAGGAAAGGGCTTTCCCAAAGATGCCACAGATAAACTGAGATCTGAAGGAGAAACGGAACTTAAATAGGGCAAGAGAAAGGGATAAAGAAGGCAACTTCCAAAAAAAAGTGAACATACAACAGGTGTAAGTGCCATGCAACATATGAATGCTACTGCTGCAGTATTATTCCAGTAGTATTAGGAACAAGGTACATTTCAAGAAACCCTGCATGGCAAGAAACAGAAAAGAACAGGACTGAAGAGATAGGCAGGAGCCCAGATCACACTGGGCCTTATCGGTCAGGTTCAGGAACTCATGAGTGAGTGTGTGTGTGAGTGTGTGTGTGTGTGTGTGTGTAACAACAGAAAGTCACTGTAAGGCATTCAAGCTGGAGGTGGCATATTTAATTTTTGTTCTAACTTTTCTGAAATTTTAAATTTACAAGAAAACATAAAAATTCTTCAGTATCCCAAATCTAGGCTCTCTGAATGAGATAGCATGTCATGTGCTGATAGTACAATGAGTAAACCCAGGAAAAGGACACTGGTACAATACTGTTAACTAATCTACAGACCTTAACGGAACTTCACCAGTTTTTGTATTTACTCATGTGTGTGCACGTATATAGTTCTATGATGTTACAACATATACATAGGCTCTCATCATCACCAGCACAATTAGGATACACAACTGTTTCATCACTTCAAAAAACTCCCTCACACTGATCCTCCTACCAACTAGAAGCCAGGGCAACCACTGATCCAGTCTCTCACACTTTCTCATTCCATGAGATCACTCCATTATCTTAAAAGAAACCTTTTAAGATGAGCTTGTTTTCAATCAGCATATGCCTTTGAGATTCATCCAAGATGTTGAAAGCTCTCTTTTATTGTTGAATAGTATTCTGTTGTACAGATTTACCTGCTGAATAACATTTAGGCTGATATTAGTTACTGACAAGTCATATTTGTGTTCTGAAGATTTCTTTGATCAAAGTAAGTAGACTGGGCCATCATAAAGGCACCGTGTGATGCAGAGAGCTCATTAAAAGAGCTCCAGAAATAGCTAAAATTAACAACCTAGTGATTCTCTCAAAGTGCAGAGGGTGATTATGCCTCCCGTCGACTCCTTCAGTAGCAGTCTAGAGACACTTTTGATAGTCACAATTAGAAGGTTACTGCTGTTTATCTACTAGATAGAACCAAGGGCTATTGCTAAAAATCCATCAATGCACATCATACTCACAATTACTTAACCCCAAATGTCATTAGCACCAAGCTGAAAAACTAATGTAGAAAAGAGTGAAAATGGTGGAGTCAGAGAAAAGATTTTTAAAATGCTCGTGTGGTAAAACTCAGTGACCAGATATGGAGGCAGGGAAGAAAGGGGAATGGTTTGAACAATCAGATAGATAATAGTGCCATTCACTAAGAAGGTAATGTATCAAGCAGTCAAGGTGCTGGACGCTGTCTTGGGGGATGGTCAGAAAGTTGGGGTCATAGTGTTTAGTCTATAGTCTTTGACGAGCTAATTTCAAGCTCCTTGAAACATCCCAGCAGACACACTGAGTTGATTTGGAGCTCCAAAATCACACAAATGTGAGTGTCATCAGTGTACTGATGCTTTCTAAAGTCAAGTTCTGCGATGAGATTATCTGATAAAAAAAATAGGGAGAGAAAAGAGATTATGACTTAAAACCCAATCTAGTTTATTCAGGTAGCAGATCAGCTTGCAGAAAATGAGGTGAGCAGAGATTATGGTATCCAAAAGCCAGTGTGTTTCAAGTTAGGAACAGGCAACAGTATTAAATGCTGCAGGAAGACAGAAAGGGTGCTATCTGAAAGGTATGATGGATTCGCTAAACTAGAGATGAACTTAGAAGTGTTTCCAAGGAAGAAGTATAGAAAGAACACAGAACTGAGACTGAGGAGTGGGAGGTGAGACAAATATGCACAATTTCTTATAAAGCTACTTCTTTTCTTTGCCTCATTTTTTAAATTGGTCATTCATCTTCCTAGCACAGATGCTACCTAACCCTTACACTGGCTAGCGGGTCATATCTAAAGATAATCCTAATCCCTAATGTAAGCACATGCAGCCTCTAAAGGCTTTACTAGTTGAGAAATGGTTAAACTGCAATACTAGAAAAAATTTTGCATGCATAAACATACCTTCTAAAAAGCATAAAATAGCACTTAAGTGTCAGAGTTGGTAAAGCTCTCAGGGACCAAAGAAAAGTATTAATGTATAGAAAGAAAATAATGGTGGATATGGCTTGAAAAACTGAGCCTTGAGTCTTTAGCCAGAGGTGCTCTTCCAGTTTGCTTGTACTTTGATTTTCTGTTCTAAAAAAAAGTGATGGCTACTTGGAAAAAAAGAAACATAAGGGAGCTCTGATGAATTTTAAAGCATTACATACGATCACTGTTGATATTCTGGTGCCACGAGATTGCCTCTACTACTGGACAGTAAGCACTAGACCACAGTATGAATTATCTCTCTGCACTCTCAGCTTTGATCCCAAAATAAACTTCCCTAAATGTTCATTGATTTAAGTAGCAGCTGAACAGGTCTGAAATGCCAAAATGTGTCACGATCGCTGAAAAGTATACGTTATCTCTCAGAGTAACTACTTTGACAAAAACTCTCTTGGACACAAATTCTGCCATCTAGGAAATGGGTTACTCTGCCAATCTGACTGAAACAGATCCCAACACCAAACAAAAAGACGAGAGTACAAAAGTTCTGGGAAGCAGCACTGGGCACTGACGGGATTGTCAAGGAAAATAAGCTCCCTCCCATTACCTGTCCTGGTCAGTTAACTCCAGGGTCTGAGCAACCGAATCCTATTCCAGGAGACAGCGGCCTCCCGCAGGCTATGCCACGTCTCCAGGCCGGCTGGGCCGGGCTCTGGCCTCTCTCCTGGCCAGCGCGCAAGAGGTGGGGCCGAACGTCAGGACCTGGCCTCTGCCACTGCGCAGGAGAGTCCGGAACGAGACTCCAAGACCGCGTGCACCCCGCAATCCGCGGCGAGGCCCGGTCTCCCCAAAACGCGAGTCCTGCCCACAACCCCAGGCTCCCAGCGCGGGCCGGGACCCGCACCCCAGCACCAGTGGCCCACAGTCCCGGAGGCGCCTCTAGGCCACAGCCCCCGCCGCCACCAGACGGACGCTCACCTGGGGTCCAGAGCAAGCGCGTGCGTGGCAGCAAAGTGGAAGACAGGGGACTCGGGCTAGAGCCACAGCTCGGACAGGACCAGACGGAGGCAGCCAGGAGCTGGACTCGCGCGCCCCGCCTCCAAGATGGCCGCCGACGGCCGCCACGTCGCTGCACACGCCCCGCCCAGGGCACCCGAGCCCCGCCCCTCCCTACGCATCTCCCCGCCCAGGTCAGCCGGGCCCCGCCCCTCCCTACGCATCTCCCCGCCCAGGTCAGCCGGGCCCCGCCCCCTGAGCCTCACCCTCCCCACAGCAGCTGACCCCGCCCCTCCCAGGACCACTTTGCCCAGTGCGAGCCCCGATTGCACCTGGAAGGAACCTCCCGTTGGGTGCAAAGGGTCTCTACGCAACCGGAGTTCGTTTGCCCGGAGCCCTCTAGAATTGATCTCGGCTAGGGCTCTCCTGTTCACTCAGCAGCACGCCCAGAGTGGCACTCTTACTAACAGATGTAACTCGCACAGCCGCCCACTGGGTCATCCCTCCCACAGGACCTCGCAGGGATTTAGCCTAATATTTTCAAAGATTTGCAAGAGAATGATAGGGGGACTGGGGCAAGGGTGGAAATTACTGATGATTTTTCTTCAAGTGTATGTATTGCAAATTTTTTGCAGATTCAGAAATAGATAAAGATCAGTTTTCTAATCTTTTTATTCTATCCTAAAGCAGTACCTGAATCAATTAGTGTCTGATAATGTACATTACATAAATCATTGAATGGAGTGCAATCTAGGCATTTAAAATTGGAATATCCCTCCTTGGTGTCTTTCTGAAAGACTTAAAAGCATCATGCCACAGCGATATATGCACACCCATGTTTATAGCAGCACAATTTGTAGTAGCTAAATCTTGAAAATAGCCGAGATGCTCATCATCAGATGGATGGGTAAAGAAGATGTGGTTTTTATATACAGTAGAGTAGTACTCTGCCATTATGAAGGATAAACTTGAGACATTTTTAGGTAAATGACTGCACTGTGAGACCATATTTTATGTGAAATAAACTGGACGCACGTTTAAATATCACTTTGTTTCTCCTGTGTGAGAAACCGAAAGCACAAATAAAGACCAAAATGGATGGTAGCTATTGGGAAGTAGGAAGAAAATGTTCAAATGGGAAGAGAAACAAGAGAGGAGGGAGGGAGAAAGGAAGGAAGCAAAAAGGAAGAAAAAGAGAATGGACGGAAAAATGGAAACAGCTTTTATAAATAAGGATTGAAGAGAGGGGAAGAGAATGAGGAAGAATGGAATCAAGATATATTACCTGCAGGTATAAATTCCCAATGATGAATGTGATCATTATGTAAAATTAATTACAAAAATAAAGTTAGAAAGCCTGACTTGAGTCTGGAACTGCCCAGAGGGCAATTGTGCAATTGTGTACCCTTGTACAAGTCATTTAATCTTTATTTTCATCTGTAAAATAGAAATATCTGCCATCACTACTCAGACAAGTAGCAAAGTCAGATAAAATAAATTGTATTAAAGCACTTTTTAAACTGCTCAGCATTCAACATATAAAAAATTATACCTTCTGTTGTAGTTCTCAACTTTCCTTCAGAAACATATAGATTAATAGTAACATAGCTCTTGGGGGGGGCAGGGGAGTACTGAGGTTTGAACCCAGGGCCTTTTCCCCAAGTTACATCTCTAGCCTCTTTTTTTATTTTTTATTTTCAGACAGAATCTCCCTATGTTGCCCAGGTGGGACTCAAATTTAGAATCTTCCTGCCTTACCCTCCCAAGTGCTGAGATTACAGCCTCATGCCATTTGAACTTCAATTTGACAGTGGAAACATTCTAAAAAATACCTCACTAATTGGGGATATTGATCCAAGCACATAATCCCAGCTCTGGGACCCTGAAGCAAGAAAATCCCAAATTCGAGCCTTTGCCTGGGTAGTTTAGAAATTTAGGAAGATCCTGTCTCAAAATTAAAAAAAAAAAAACAACTGCTTTTAAATGCTGGGGATATAGCTTGGTGTGAAGGCCCTGGCTTCAATTCCTAATACTGCTGAATAAATAAACATCACTAAAAAATAATCTGATTTAACAATGCCCTGGACTGCAGATCTGGCTTTGCCTTTGCAGTGGGCTGTTCCCTTTGGTAGTGACTCATCCTAACCACTGAGAATGTGTGTAGGTGGCCTTCTAGATTCCTCCCCAGAAAGTGCTGGTTGGGGCAGTGCTGAAAGTAGATACCATCTCCATCATCCTTGGTTGGCACCCTAATAATAATAAGGCGTGTTGGTTTCTTCCGTCAACAAATACTTACTAGTAGCTGCGGCATGCTGGGCATTGGTGCTAGAAATGCTGCAACAAACAAGACAGACAAGGTCTTGGCACTTAGGTAGTGGACCTTTTCATAGGCTAGAGAAGCTGTAAACAGAAAAATAAACACAATGGAGTGATGTTACATAGCCACTTCAGACAAGAAGAATGGCAGTGCTTCTCTGAAGAGGTGAAATCGAGGCGAGACCTGTCATGACGGCTGTGGTCATCTGGACTGAGGAAGACCATGTTAAGACTGGAAGAGGGATGTGCTTGGCAGGAGGGCAGGACAGCAAGGAAGTGAAAGAGTGGTAAAGAAATAAGGACAGAGGGATTCCAGGGGCTAGGTCACAGTCTTGTGGGGCATGATGAAGCTTCTGGGGTAGTCTCAGGGAAGTGGGAAGCATATGAAAGGTTCTGAGCAGAGACCTGACAAGATTTCAACTGAACTTCTATTTTAAGTTGCACCCTGATTGCTGTGTGCCTATAGGACACACAAGAACTAAAGAAAAACAACCAATGATGAGAGCACAGTGGCTTAGAGTGACTGGGGGAGGACAAGTGTCACATGGTCTGCATGGGCTTTGAAAAGCAAGCTATCATAATGTATGGAAAGATTTGATATGGGTTGTATTAATTTCTTAAAACTGCCATAATAAATGTCTACAACTAGTAGGCTAAAAACAACAGAAATTTCTTCTTTCATAATTCTGGAAGTCAGAAGTTCAAAATCAAAGTACTGGCAGGGCTCCTCCAAAGGCTTTTAGGGAAAAACCTTTCATACCTCTTCCAGCTTCTAGTGGCTTCTGGTGTCCTTTAACTGGTGCTGAAACAACTTCAGTTTCTACCTTTGTTATCATATGGGCTTCTCTTTGTCCCCTCAGCTGTTTTAAAAATACCAGACATTCCATTTAGGGCCCTGTCCTAATCCAGAATAATCTAATCTCAAGACACTTGAGGGTCTCACAAAGGCCCTATTTCCAAACAAGCTCACATGCATAAGTTCCAGGGGGACATATCTTTGCAGGACCGGGACCACTATTTCATTCAGTACATGGACAAAGAGACAGAAAGCAACTAAATAAGTATGATTAAAAGATGGACTTTGAAGGTTTTAATCTTGAATTACATTTACAGTACTTCATGCTTTACTTAGCACTTCTCATTTGAACTTCAAAATAATATTATCATTCCAGAATTACAAATATGGAAAGTAAGGCTCTGAGAATTGTGTGCAGAGCTGGAATTGGAACCCAGAATTTATAGATGGTATACCAACTGCTTGTCTGCAGATTGGACGCTAAGGTAAGATGTGCTCTTAAATGGCAGACGGTGAGCACAGGGAGTCAAGGGACAATTATAACTTGGTAGCAGAACAACTTTTTAAAAAGTTGTTATTGATAACTCATCAAGCCTTTTCTCCTGGGAAGCTCAATACATGGTAGAGTTCATTTGTGAGTTGTGCAGAGCCACACAATATGACAGTGGAATTTTGTTTTCCTTGCTCAAAAACATAGGCAAACAAAACCATTTCCCACTCAAATTGAGATTTTTTGCTAGCTCATATTTAATATATCTGTTCTTACATGCTTTTAAGCCAGTCCTTATGTGACTGATATTCACATGACTATCAAATGCATATTTCCAGGTGAGTGAGAGATGAGGCCGAAACTCTGGGCATCTGCAATTTATCCAGGAGTAAAGGCACAGCTGACTTTGGTTTGAGAGGATGGGTTCTGCTGAGAGCACAGACAAGTTATACAACCACAGGGAAACTTCAACAGATACAATAAGAGTGCTAGTCCAGTCGAAGAAATAGGGGCCCACAACTATGCCAACAAGCAAAGACAGGCTGTGCCTGGCCTCCCCTCCCCACTGTTCACTGGTCTTCACCCTCCTGGCTGACCCCTGATCTCTTCCACTCCACTGTCCCGTGGTCTCCCCTCATCCCACCTCTGGCTATCTCCTGCTTTCCTGCCCCTGGTACATTTGTTTCTTTGGCAACTAGGAAAGAGAAGAAGGGTTGTCTCAAACATTGCATGAGACATATTTGTACTGAAAAATTATTCATAACTCATCTGAAACTTAAATTCAAGAGGCAATTAAGCCAGGACTAGATTATGACATTAACTTTGCTACCACATGACTTGTATTAAAATTCTGGTTCTGGCACCTGCTGCTCAATCAACAGCTAATCATGGGAATGTCACTGTTTACATTTCTACACCTGTAAGTGGGACATGTACTCCTATTAATACCTACCTCATAGTTTTCTACTTGAAGATTAAATAATTTAGTATATGTTGAGTGTTTAGAAGAATACCTAACTCATTTTAAACTGAAACAAATTTTATTTAATTGAATCTGAGCTGTAATTTCCAGATCCAACTTTTGTTTGATTGTTTGTTTTCAATTGAAGAAAGCTTAGTGACAAAGGTGAATCCACCTTTCAGTTTGCATGGAGTTCTCTCACTCCAGAGCTATCATCCCAGCCTAAGTATTAAAAGTATCCACTTCGTAATCTACAAAGTATTGCAATTTGACCATAACTCTTGCCCTGCCCTTGTTACAGAGATATTAATTTATCCCTTTTGCACACATGAATTAGAGTGTGACAGTGTTGATATCTGCTCATTGCTCCTCTGCATAATCATTACCAGAACCCATTTTAATCTTCTTTAAAGAACTAACTTATCTTTTACAAAATATGTATGTCTGGAAAGTTCTGTGGCTTTTTTCCCCCCACATAGTAAAATCTTAAAAACTCAACCTACTTTGTTTTCTAGACTCATCTTGTCCTCCAGCTTGTTTCATCTTTCTCGCCCTCGGCCCCAGCTC